CGCTTCTAAATTTTTCGCAAAATAATTTCTTGCTTTTAAATTGATAATAATTCAGTATTTTTTATATTCAGTACTAACTTAAGTTAATGAATAATTGCTTTTTTTTTCTTTTTCAATCAAGAACAGTTGTTTTCTATAAAGAATAATCTCATTGAGGCTGTCGAAAAAGTTTAAGTATACAGGTGGTATACTAAAGTAGAGAACTTGCAAAAAAATAGAAAAAAGAGACTCGGACACCCGGTGCAAATCAAAAAAAAAAAAAAAAACTTGCACGTGGAGAAAAAGAGTAGAGGACTTGCACGAAGATGTGTTTTTTTACAGATAACATCCAATCATCTATACTATCAGGAATCTCGTGGATGCACCCAAAAATAACTAGAAATAGAAAACATGCCCTAATCTTTACAGATCATTTTTCACACCTTCAAACACTATTCCTTTCTCTCCAAGGTGCCTACAAAGAGCCAAATGGAGCTACACCTTACATCTTTTTTCCTATTTTGACAGTTTAGCTGAACACCACATTCTCGACTGCAGCCAGCATTGCCCACTATATTTTGATAGATACTTCGAAGTGTAGCAACATGTCATTCACGTCTTTAGTGTGTTCTCACATGTAGAAGATTGCACCTCCCCTTTTATACTTCCAACCAAGTGAAAAACATAGCTTGCTTGGCTGTCTGTGAATCTATACTAGTTAATATTGTTATAAATCAACAAAAATCAATCGACCTATATCATTGGATCATGAATACCCTCTTTCAGATTATATGATTTCATTAATTTTCTTACTAGCATCAGTTCTGTAAACATGCTTCTGTTTCATTCTGTATTCAATATTTCCATTTTATTGGTAACTGTTTAGCAAATTGCTGTATTTCCCAGTGAAGTAAAATATTTTTCATGTTATTGTCTTGAGAGATACCTGCATGTTCTGTTCCAGGTAGATGAGTACTCTCGCACCAATGTACCGAGCATTTGGGCCATCGGTGATGTTACCAATCGAATGAATCTTACTCCAGTTGCTTTGATGGAAGGAACCTGTTTCGCGGTAACTTTTTCTTATGCTTTTATCTGCTAATTTTTTATATTTGACCTTAAGTTGGATTCTCGGGTTTGCTATTGTTGCTCTTGTTGTTATCTTCTGAAAGATAACTGCTTACTTTTGTTGTGCTTCATGTCTGCAGAAAACTGTTTTCGGTGGAAAACCTACCAAGCCTGACTACTTGCATATCCCATGTGCTGTGTTCTGGTACCTCTTTGATATACCTTCTTGACTGTTAAACCCCCCACCCCCCAAAAAAAAACCCTTATTGTGATCTGTTGTAACGCTGCATCCCAAATAGCTTGTCCTAGTCCTTTACAAAGTGTATATCATTTCCTAACTGGCATTCTTTATCAGTATAATTCAAACTAGTATAATCAATTTGAGAAAGATCTTCCAGTATATAGTTGTTAGAGTTACCAAGTCTCTTTGAGGAAGTAAATAACTTTGACATCCGTTCATAGAGAGCTGAGTTCTAGCGGGAAAAACATGACACCAAAGAAATTGGCTACTTGAATTCCATCTCATAGGACAGCTGATGTAAACATTCTCCAAAGAAAATGGCTTCTTGAGTTCAATCTCAAAAAAAAGCTTATGGAAACATATTGGGAAGTGGTTTGAGGACAGCAGCAGAAGTGAGTCCTTATTGGTGATCAAGTCTGTTAGAGTGTTTAACATAAGGAATAGCATGTAGTTTATGAATGATTTTGGAGAATACTCAACTCATAAGCTAGCTTTTAGAGTTGAGTTAGGCCTAAGGTCCATTTTCTTTACATCATAACAAAGTCAGACCAATCCCTGTTATGTTTCTAGATGTTAGGCCCAAATTATGTTATCTACTCTCCAGATGTCCTGTACTGAGCCTATGAGAGTGTTAAAATGTCTCACATAGGTTGAGGGAATGAACTGTAGTGTAGTCTCTTTATACTGTCTTGGACAATCCTCAAGTCATGAGCTATTTTTGTGGTTGAATTAGACCCAAAGTCCATTGTCTTTACAACATTGATGTCAATTGATGAAAACTAATCAATGAAATAGATGATTCTAAGAAGACTGCGGGTGAATTCTTTTAGTGATACCAAATTATCTAGAGAAGAAAATTGGCAATTAATACCAATAGTGGCAGTTACTTTAGCTCGGAAGTGTCAATGGATACTATTTTTATCAGTTCTCATTTTCTTTGTCACGCTTTTGAAATTGGTTGCTTCAATGTTGTGAAGTAAGCCCTTACCTGGTAGAAAGTAGTTCTTTGAGGTTAATCACTGAGATTATAATCTCGTTTCGTGTTTTTGGTTGGATCTATAACAAGCATCTTATTTTTTGCTGGACAGCATCCCGCCTCTCTCTGTTGTGGGGCTTAGCGAAGAACAGGCCATAGAGCAAGTAAATGGTGAAGTTTCAGTTTACACGTCAACATTCAATCCAATGAAGAACACCATTTCTGGGTACCCACCTAATTACTTTTTGATTTGTTGTCAGTAGGTTGCCCCAAATGAGTACCATTAAAGACCAATATATTACAGCTAATTCTTCTTAACCTGGCTCTTAAATCGGTTCTTGTGTGCAAATAAGCTAAAGCTACAATGGTGACCCATTTTTTCTTTTCAGTATCTTTTTATTTGTTCAAAATGGTAATATCAGCATATGTTATGAGTACTGGATATTGGATAACCACAGGTTTCTTGTATGTCACATTCATGTGATTGAACGACTGCAGTGTTGAATCTTGGAGACGTGTTATGTGTTGAATCTTGAGCAGTGTTCCATTTTATTATATAATTAGGTTCTTCGATGGCATGATGTTTCAAATCGATTACACTAATAAAAAGTAGAACTGTGGCAACTAATTCCTAACATTCATAATGTAACAGACGGCAAGAGAAGTCAGTAATGAAGCTTCTTGTTGAGGCCGAGACAGATAAAGTTTTGGGGGCATCCATGTGCGGTCCAGATGCACCTGAAATCATGCAGGCATGTATTTTCTTCGTCATTGCTGCATATAATTTATTCGTACACTTACATTTTCTATGTTTTTGGTAATTTCAACCTTGTATATTTCCTCTTTTATGAGTTCCAGGATGAGTTTCTCAACTGTGAATAATTTTGAGTATTATGCCACGTAGTTGGGGTCATTTCAGTCTTCATAGCAGAATATGACTGCTCAATTAATTTTCATCGTCATTGAGGGTGGCAGCCTTTTTGTTCCATAAAAATGTTGACAGCTTCCATCATTAAGTGACCCTCAAACTGTGTCTTCCCTTTTATGTTTCGTAGTTCACATGTCTTTGCTGAATGTCTTTCTACTTATAAATGTTATGCCCCACTGCCTTTGTCATCTTTGTAGTGTGGGGTCCAATTCCCAACATGTAGGACATGCTTTCATGGTTTTGTTGATATGCATCCCGTGTGTGTTTTCATTCTTCCGCTCGTCCATTTTGTCCTCTAGGTATGGTAAACCTCACCGCTGAAACCCCACACTCAGGAGTCTCAATAGTGGCTTACCCCACTTTGCTTGCTGAAGTGAACCTCTAAAACCTCATGGTTAGAGGTGGAGGGCCCTTAATATTAGGTTATCACTCACTTGTCTTCATTTTTCCTGCATCATTGCTTCCCTACATGCACTATGTGAGCAAGTTTTGCTACTCTTTCTCCCACTATTGGCTCCAAAAAGGGAACATAAATTTTCAATGATTTTTTTTTTTTGATGGGTAATCTTCAATGATTTTTCTCCCCAGTGCCTAAGAAATGAGAATTGCCTTTTGATATGGAGATGGAAGAAAGGGCGTCAATCTCGGAAAATGAAATGTTTGATTTTTTTTTCTCTTCTTAATTTAAGTAAATAATAGAATCAAGTGACAATATGGCTTCTTCCGGGATGATGGATGAGCTTTAAATTTTCATCATTAATGCCCCTTGTGGATTTCTTCCTTTTGCCATTACTCTAGGGTTTCTATATATTCATTTGCTTGACAAAATTTTTTTCTTCCTCCAACAGGGCATTGCCATTGCACTAAAGTGTGGAGCAACCAAGGAACAGTTTGACAGTACAGTAAGTCTATTATTGTTACAATCTCTTCCTAAAAGACCAAGTTTTTTATTACAATAGAATTGTTGTAGAAGTAACACATTCAATAATTGATTTCATAGAATCCGTCCAAGGGTAGAAGAGGGATATGCTTCTTGGATTTTTCCCACTCTGTACAATTTTGTGAATAATATTTGTTACCTTCTCAAAAAAACTACTCCCTAGAATGGTTGCCCTATAGACTGAATCCTCATCACTAAAGAATGGTGATATTGAGTTGTTTCGTGCTATTTTTTGTTTCAGTTTTCTGTCTTTTCTAACCAAGCTATATATTATTTTCATTTATTTTCCTTCTATTTATTACTCCAGGTGGGAATTCACCCTTCAGCTGCAGAGGAGTTTGTGACCATGCGTTCAGAGACGAGGCGCGTCTCTTCAAACAAACCAAAGACAAATCTATGAAGATGTAAGATGTGATGAAACTATACTACCACATAGATGGAGCTTTGAGGAAAAGAAAAAAATACTTCGTACAATATTTACATATATATAGGGTAGTGAAAAATCTATTTAACCCTTCATAGTTTTTGCTACATGATGCAGTTTTTATTGGTTTAAAATATGTCGAGGACCAACAGAGAATGCTGGCAAATAACATCTGCATGTTGAACAAAACTAGTTTGGTTTTTGATAATTGTATTAGCAGCAAGTTTCACTTCGCAATGATTTGGCGATAATATTATAATATAATTTACGCGTTTAGTATCTCTATCATCTTCAATTTATAATTTTATCTTGTTGTACCTCTTCTGTAATCACCAAAACTATGAAGGTTTTCTGTGTTTTTATTATACACATTTATATGCGTGGCACTATCATGAAATCAAATACAGTCAAGACTTCTCTATAACAACATCTATATGACAACCATTCAATACAAAAGCTATATTCTTTTCAGAACCGATTTTTATGTTATAATATATATCCTCTATAACAACACTTCTCTATAGCAACCAAAAAATATCGGAACAAATGAGACTGTTATAGAGAGCTTGTGTTTTCTTTCTGGCCCCTCTTAAATATCCACGTATACAATTGACCTCTGGTCTATCTACCATCAGAGGTGAAGAATCAAAAGTAGAAAACTGTATTTGGGAGTGATATACAACTGCACATATATCCACTAAGCTTTCACTATCTTTTTGCCTTCACAAACATCGCAAGTTACGAATCCATGACCTTCACAATAGGGACACTTCATTCCTTCATCTATCCATTCCATAAACTGCTAAAAAAATTTCCAACATAAGTTTATAAGCAATTTAGAAATGAAAATGGCCATAAAAACTACAGTTACGGAAAGTTTTCAGAGTCCTCTAACCTGTTCCTCAATGTTTGGCTCACCAGTCCCATCACATTCTGCACAAAAATAGAAGTATGTTAAGAAGAAAGCTTTAAAAGACATGATTTTGCGCAAGGCGGTCTCAAAGTTAGCCACGGGAACAGATGATCACAGAAAATGACTAGCATTGCGATGTACCTCTGGTGAAAATTTAACAAGTTACAAATGTTCCTTGATTTGATCTTTCAACTGCTATAATTCTCACGGGGAAAACTTACATTAGTTTGCTGTCACAAGAACAAAACAATGCATCCTGTATTGTGAGGAATCATCTACACTTGACTTGTTTTATGCTGGCTGTCCTACCTACTGCAAGATTTCCTCCTTTATCCAAGCTTGATTGGCAATGTGAGCACTCACATAGGCAGAGTTGCTACCACATAATCAAGAACAAGAAGTTCCTTTTTTCACAAGTAGATCATTCTCACAGTAACTGTATTCACTTGTTTGACATTGTTAATTACAATTTGGATTACTACTTATGAGAAACTCAGGCTTCGAAAAAGGATACTAATAACAATGATCTTTCTTTTACCCAAACAACGTGCATAGTAAGATAGGGCGGCATCATCAGAAGGTTTGACAATAATCCCCCCGTTATTCCATCTTGAATAAAAAAAATTCTTGTTCTTTAAAAATTAGTACTAAAAAGTGCAAAGACGAGAAGGGACAGAGTATATACCCATGCATAACAGGCGACCTTCTCCGCGACAAGTAAGACACTTTGTGGTGGTACTGCCACCAGTAGTCTCCGCCGGTTTCCTACTTGTAGTAAGTCTGGAAGGTTCTTCCCATCGGTTCTCTCCAAGGAGAAAGACTCGATGATGTGACACCTCGGTTTCAGACACACTATCTTCTTTCACAACTGTCTGCTGAACTTCCTCTATTTCCATGATAGATGCAACTGGGGCACCATTTGCACAAGTCTGAGGAGGAAAGAACATTGAAGTATAAACCATAATAGTCTGAGATTACTTATGATTTTACAGGATGAATCTGAATTACAACAGGCATTGGCAACTCACACTGATGATGTAGTTCCAGTACAATTCCATCCAAACAGGTAAAGAATGATAAAAAAGAAAAATTTGTCATGTTTATCATTGTGATCACGTGTATCCAAGTCTCGTATATGGTTACCTTATTGCTTCTCATTACTCAGTGACACTGTCTACCCTCAGTGCACATAGCCATTCGCAACAATTTAGTGACAGGTTTCCCATTCATCCCCCCAACCCCCCCAAAAAACTGCAAGAATGCTTCCCCTCGGCAATTTTTCAAATTTGTGTAATATGCTGACCAGGGAAACAGGGATGCTAGACTGAAAAAAAAGAATAAGCAGTGGAACCTAGAAAGAACAATTCTTCGCATGCATAGTCTGTCTATCAATGCCTCAGCTATTTCTAAAGTTCAAGGACCGCCAAATGTCCTTGAATTTAGCAACCAATTCGTTGGCAGGTGAGATTCACTATGCATACATCCATAATCATCTTTCAGTATCGACAATGTCAACTACATTAGAATTAACTACAGTGGCAAAAATTAGATTCAATCAGTCCCTAATAATGGGTAATTCACCAAGCAGTTGTGATCTGTCAAAGGCAACAAATGGGTCAATTTTCTTTCCGTGATTGAAAAATTTATAACTTTAGTCACAACGAGTTGAATCATATGAATGCACCTACTGAATTTCATTTTTCCTATTCCTTGATTTTCATCATACTAGATCTATTTGAAAAGGTGGTATGAGTTTGTAACAAGTACATCTCTTTAAGATTTCCTATGAATGACACACTAAGAGATATTACAGTCTCATGGAAGAACGCTCATACTAGACCAGACAGGGGCGATGGCTTATATTCTAGAATGATGTCAGCTAAACCTCTTGACTTAACGAATTACACAAAAGAAAAAAGATAAACCAAATATTTGGGATTAATAGAGGTTTCAAGTTCAAAATTTATAGGGAGCCAAAGATATCAGCATGGACATTTTTATGTCAGTTAGAAGGGATAACACACCTTTGCTTCAGTTCCATCTGGTTGTTTGGGATTTTCCCTCAATCCGTCAATCTTTTGCACCATATATAATTTTTCAAGAAGTTCTGAAGTCATAACGCCATCTTCTGGGACACCAGATGAAGCCTGCCCAAGGGGATATGAGAGAACATATGAATCATCTGTATATTACACACAGCTAACCCAAATATAATTTGAGACTCTCCTGATAATAAGATGGAGCTTACAACATACCTGCCAAGTTTTCACAGCACGCTCAGTCCCACTAGTGAAGCTGGAGAATTCCATATCTTCCTCCCCGCAATAAAAGCCCAATGTTAACAATTGTTCCTAAAAAGGCGAACATAATTAGGTGATGCACTAAATTAGAACAATATAGAACCCACAAAGGAGAGACTGATGCCTAAATAAATAAAGCAAATCAAGAACTAATCCATGACAATGAGGCATAACATTTATGTTTATGTGATCCAACACAATCCAAGTTTCAGGAGTCCTCAACACACAAAAAACCTTATATAAAGTTGACCACAGGGAATAAGGAAGTCGAATTTACACAGTTTTCTGTAATCGTCAGTCCATTCAGTTAAGAAGATAAACTCAAGTATGAATAGCGACTCCAAAACAGAAGCCTTATATCTCTTTATTGATCAGAATAAAAGGACAAGAGGCAATCTATCCTCTGTCACATCCATGATACCTCAGTAAAGTCAGCTTGATTAATCAAAACACTGAAGAAAAGAATCATAAGAAAATATATGCTTTTGGTTGATTTATATTTGAGACAATAACACTTTTGATCCTTTTAGTTTCCTACTAATTAAGTTCATTGAGGTATCAAAAGCCATCATTGAGTATTTATCTTGGACTACTTGGTGACGCTGGCACAAGACGACCAGCCTGTACATGTTGGACAATACTTGTCATGTGAAGATCAAATAACAGATAAGCTCAGCTGAAGGAAGGAAGAAAGAAAACGCAAGTGTTGAGCAAATGAACAATTGGGTCTGAAATTTACAGGTTGAGACATAAATCTAAGTCTTCATAATGGATTTTCAGCAGCTGTAGGAGTCTTTAGACAGAAATACAATAGCGAAACGATTAAACATACTAGTTTTTGTTTCTCGGCTTAATTGTTTGGCAATCTCAACATTGCATCAAAATACCTTCAATAACAACAGCTCCATCACTTCATTGCTGTGTAGCATGACATGAAACAAAAAACACCTTCTCTTCCAACTCACCTCCAGAAAAAGTCTATTTACACATAGTTCTCATTACTTCCTGGTTCCAAGTGACAGTTTCTTTAAGACTACAATCTATTTTGGCACTTGTTCTTCTTTAAATGGATAGACTGCATTAACTTTTGCCATAAATCCAGTATATGTCAAAATAAAAAATAGAGCAAATAATCAATCAAACAAGCAGGAGCGATGAATTAACCAAATCACTGTGATAAAAAAGACATGGTAACTTTAAGTTAGCAGACCTGCATCAGGCGAACTTCATCTCCTTCAGATCCCATTCTCAATGGCCGCCTCTTCTTGGCTTCTTTACCCTCTCTTTCTGATTCTTTAGGAACTTCCCTAATCACCTTCTCCTGCTCTACTGCTTCTTTAACTATAACCTCATTTTCTTTTGCTGCTTCTAAAATTAATGGCACAGATATCGACCCGCTTTCTGTAATCACATTAACGTTCTTTCCCAGCTCCCCCTCCTTCAGCAGCTAGAAAACCAAAAAAGCAACATAAAGAAAATCAACAGTATACTCTTTCCTTCTGTTTTTACTTGTGTTAGTTTTCCTTAAATTCTCAGAGCTACAGTAACACATTTACCATGATCCAAGAATCACTTGAAAACAAACAAACAAACAAATCATGAATATTTTACCAATGGATAGCCATTTTACTAATCTCAGAAACTCATGAAAATGTGAAACTTTATTTTAAAGAAGGTGAATTTCCAAGTTGAATTCTCAAAAAAGAAAACGAGAAATAAATTTAAAGCCTCGAATGCATAAATTTGATACTTATAAATAATAAAGTTTAATAAACATGATCACACTCTAAAGAGTATACTTAGCAATTTAGACCTTCAAATTTTAATCAAACAAATATGGACTAGTGAGCCTGCTGTTTAGTTTTTGGATCATGAAAATGATACTACTATACTAATTATCTAAAAAGTAGTTAATAGAGGCCTTTATTATTAGAGCTTAAGTTAGATGGTGTTAAAGCTATTTAAACAACTAGTCTCTTGATAATCATTAAATGGCAACTTGCTAAAAATGAAGGAGAGCCTTGTAGTAACGGTAAAGTTGGCTCCGTGTGACCTATAGGTCACGTGTTTGAGTCGTAGAATCAGCCACTGATGCTTGCATTAGGTTAGACTGCCTACATCATACCCCTTGGGGTACACCCTTACCCGAACCCTGCGTGATATGGGATAGTTCGTGCACCGAACTGCCTTTTTTTTTTTTGGGATAAAAGTAGTAACTAACCGGCTATAACAAGTTAATCAATATTTCAATGAAAAGATAATTAAGTCTAAATAATCAATTCTAATGAAGCAATAATCATGGTATAACTCCAAAATTATGATCGAAAAAAGCTTTAAGTAAAACTGAACTGGGCCTAAATTGGATGATTTCACTTCGTTTTTTTCTTTTTATAGGGCATTTGGATAGTGTCGATAAGTCAAATAGATCCATATGCACCACACACCTGCAATAATTTAGCAATATTAGCAACAGTAGAAGCTTCTGGAAGAGAATTCTTCCTATTCTCAAGCTCCTTTAAACGGAGCTGTAAACTCTGAATTTGGAGCAACAAAGCTTCTCGTTCTGCTTCCCACCGTTTCTCTTCTCTTAACCACCGCGCCTCCTCCCTCAACCACCGTTGCTCTTCCCTTAACCACCGCGATTCCTCCCGTTCCGGCAAACTACTATAGCAAATGTGAGATACTGAGAGCGATGTTGTTGAGGAGTACTGTGCGGACAGAAATGAAGTTGAAGTGTGTGTTTGGTGTGAAAGTGAGAGGGATTTTAGTGTGTTGTTGTTCTGTGGGATGATGTGGAAACTCAGTGGTAGTGAAGATGCCATTGATGTACTGTTAGAGAACTTTGAGATTTTTGTTCAGTTATTTTGTTAACGGTTTTTACAGGATAATGGGAAATTTACCCAAAGATATTTTTAGCTGGCGGGAATATCTACACTGCTTTGTGCTATCATGCGCAGATCTAATCTTTTTCATTTTTTAAAATTCTTTTATCATATATACACATTTTTGTAAAGTTATTTATATGTAATTTTTATAATCTAACTCAAACGTAGTGAAGCCATTAGCTATCGTGAAATGTATATTTTTAGCCGCTTCCAAAAAATATATTATATGAGTTGGGTCGTAATCTTTTTTTTGTTGTTAGTTTGTTCTTCTGTAGTAATCAGTTTAATTGGCAGATCAAACTAATAAAACTTTTCTTTTTATTTATCATGGTTATATAAAAACAAACCACACCTCAAGAAACTTTTATTTCATTTTTTCAAAAATTTACTAATTTACAAGTGTTGGTTTAACTTGATTATTCGAACTGCTTCTAGAGGTAGGAAAGATAATGAAAAGAAGGGAAATAATTTCCAATTTCCAGCTTTCTTTTTTCCATTTATCAAACTGAACAAGAAACCTCAATACACATTGGTTTTAGTTCACTTCTGGTTTGGTGTCCTCCAGAGAGATAGAATGTCAACTATTGCTCAAGATTGAGCTTAAAAAACTTGTAAGTCCCATAGCTAATATACAAGATTTATTTTAAGACACAGAGGGATGGTCAAAATTTAAAATCTTATTCATCAACAAAAATATCGAAGCAGCCACTAGTTTCCATTATTTTGGTTTTGGTGTACAACAACTTAAAACTTTCATACCAAAATCTGAATGAATACACAATAGCAAAGACATAATCAGTTCCAAACCCCTTTTCACTACAACAGCCCACTACTCATTTGCTTCCATGAATAAGTCTCCAATATATAAAGCTACAAACACCTAGTGCCGTGAAAACCCGGAAGGCGAAACCAGTTTTATTACAGCTATAAGGTGATCTTTGCCACTGACAAAATAATTTAAATCACAGGAAATGAGAGAGAATCACAATTGTACAATATCATGGGCAGATTGCACCATTGATGTCCCGACGATTTAATGCAGCAGCTGTAAAATTCTAGTCGAGCTTCACGTTAGAATAGAGAAGGGTGTCCCTTGTGAGTGGCATGTTGAGGAGGAAGTAAATCTGCATCCAATTAAAGATGCCATGAGATTGCAACAAAATAAATGTATGGGGCGAATCAGAGAAGTACATGATAAGATGTTATGGAAGAAAGCTAAAATCCAACAATATCATCATCACGGTCTAATTTCTAGGGGAGATCTTATACTACAACAACTACGCCTTAGTCCCAAACAAGTTGTGGTCGATGATATGAAGTAAAAAAGCCAGCCGGTGCTCAAGCATCCAGCGTTCACATAGGGTCCGGGGAAGGACGGTACCCCAAAGGGGTGTGATGTGACAGCTGCCTAATGCAAGCATTAGTGGCTGCTTCCACGGCTCGAATAGGTGACCTATAGGATAGACAGAGACAACTTTTACGTTGCTCCAAGGCTCCCCTTCCAAACCAAAATAAAAGTAAAAAAAATAAGTATATATAAATAAATAGTATTAATAACATAATATTAGAAGTATTCTACCAAGTCAAAAACCTATTCTCAACTAGTAGGTTAACCTATATGGATCTTTCTCTTCTATTGTGCCCTATCTTTAGCTATTGGAGATCTTATGCAAAGAATTAAAGGGGAAAGACCAAAAAACAGCTAAGAACTTATCCAGTCCAATACACCCACATGTCTGAGTTTGAAGATTATCTCAGACAAAGGAAACTTGACATGGCTTTCTATAAGAAGGAATTCTTAATGCAATTGTTCAACAACTACGAACATGGAAAACTCATTGCGCAACAGTTCTTTCAATGGTGAAAATTGAAGCATTGAAATGCATTAGCATTTGGTTAGTAAAAACTTACTCCCAATAGAGTGGCAATAAGAAGCAAGATCCCTGTAACCCATGCAACAGTTCGTCTAACCAATATAATTTCTTCAATAGCTGTTGTATTTGGTAAAGCTTTTGTTTCCTCCAGCCAGCGGGCAGTTGGCGGAGAAGTGAAAATGACGTTGAATAATGGCTCTGCTACTGATGGTGTACCATTACAGACAATGACTCCAACAATGTGACCTGCACGCGTAATACAGAGTTTCCTTTAAAACAGAACTCAATGTTATCTAATAACAAGAATCAGAAAGGAAGAACTAAAGGAAAACATTCTTCTCCTAATTACTGCATATATTTTTTCCATAAAAGAAGGGCAAGTTTTTTTCTTCAAAAGCAACTTCCGGTGTTAAGGTATCTTTTGCCAATGGTTAAAATCAACTCTTGTAATCATAAATCAAATACAGAGATCAGAGATCGGTGAAGCTGCTAAAACACTATCAACTTTGTCAAAACCAGAGAACAAAGCTAACCTTTATAGGCTTCAGTTAAGGAATCAAACATCTTCGACATTACGATACTAAACAATTTGGTTCCTTTTGCAACACCTTCTGCTCCATAATGCTCTTTGAGAGCCTACAAAAAGATCAAAAAGATCAATTGAGCTGGTATAACCAGTATAACAGGTTTCATGTTTGTCTCTTATGTATTTAAAACTGAGGTGAAACAGTTCAGAGTACGACCGGTATGGAAATTAGAAGAAATATAACTTCCTTTTTCCAGACAAATGACAGATAATAAGAGACATTACGATCATCTGCAGCTGGTGTCATCTTTCCTTTTGGATGATAGGCTCATCTGCCACTAGTAGTGTGTAACTATTGATGGTTTCTCTGAATCAAACCAGAAGTTCTAACTTTTGAGAGGCATAGGCCAAAACATCCAGTGATGCAGTTAATTGGAAATGACGGTTATCATCAATAGTTAAGGAACAATCAGTATGTCAGACACTTTGTTAATATGATATCCGGACAGTCCAGAACAGCAAGAGATCCAGAAATGAAGGAATAATAAGAGACAAAAGGGACGAAAATACTAGGATGGTACCTCCAAAAATGGAAAAGGGAAAAGGAGAAGGATCAGATTAAAAGAGATGATTTCTTTTGAGAGGTCAGATTAAAAGAAATGATCTTAAATTCAATGTTTAAGATAAAAGAGATGTATCATGTACTTGTGCTAAAGCTTAATTTGGAAAGGGAAAAAGAAAGAAAATGAGACTAGGTCTCGAAGAATTTGTAACCTTAAGTCCATCAAATTTTCCAGAAATTAGCTCAGAAGGACGGCGCACAGCTCCTGACAAATCTTGGTGCATCTCGATTGCTCTTTGAATCTTACGGGTGAGTGAAACAAGACTTGTTACAAACTCTCGATCTGCTTCCTGTGCGACAAATGAAATGGACCATCACTAAATTTAGGCTGAACATGAAAGAAGACCAGAAAAGAATGAATTCATGATACCAGAAAAGAATGAATTCATGATACATGCTGTCAAACCTCAAAAATACCTTTGTCAATTGAAATTTCAAATTTGCATCATCCTCCAAGGGAATTGTCAGCTCTCCACTCACATATGAACCACTTAACCATGATGCCTACATACAAAAATCAAACCTCTTGTGAGTAGAATCACCTTGAAGTTATTCAATGTGAGAGAAAATCATGCAACTGCTAACAAACACTAACAAAGTCAGTTAGTTCTTTGTCTGAATATTCAGCATCTGTTGTTGGTTCATCCAATGAAAAAAGAGAGACTTCATCTGCATCTGCAAAAAACGTAATATTAATTTTAAGTATACCAATCTAATTCTCTTTTTACAAGTAATTTAAATATCAATTTAATAAAACCTAGTCAGAAATTTATAACATGTATAAAGACAACTACCTGGAAGTTGAATGTCAGCTTTATTTTCGTTTACTACATTGCTTCTGAGGGCCTCAATAGAAACCCCTGTTACAACACAGGACATAAATAAGCACAATTCAATATAATCACCAGATCAGAAGCAGAAAAGCCAAGCAAGCACAGTAGAATATTCCACAAGTATGTTCTTTAGCTTAAAGAGAGGGAGAGAGAGAGGGAGAGAGAGAGAGAGAGAGCAGGGAAACTCAGCAAGAATATTAATGTACTATGAAATATAGTCATCCCAGCTTGCATACCTTCAGCTCCGGTAACTTCTAGGATGACGACAGAACGTGGTCTATCAAATGGATTTGGTACGAGTACTTCATTCAACTGCAACCAATATGAATATTGATGATGTACGATTTGCTTTATATTCAAAAGATTTGCTACTACAAGATTCAGCTTTCCTACCTTCAATGAACTAGAAGCTGAGAGAGTTACAGGAGGTGCAAAACCAAGCAAGACTGATATAGCAGCACCAACTTCGGAAAGAGCCATGGAACCAATCTGTGCCCGAAAGACAATCACGCAGTTAGTCAATAAAAAATGATCAAGATATGGTGTTATGGAAAAAGATGGATGAGTAAATTCATACAAAATATCGATATGAGAACCCAATAATGCACTGCCTTAATGTTGTAGAAAACTACCTATTACCAGAGTATGTAGTCTTGTAACGGAACATTAAAACATCAGTTGGAGAGGCTTCAGATTTTTTTTGTTTGTATTTGATGTTTATTTGTAGAAGAGGGACCTTGGAGCAATGGAGAAGTGCTCTGCGTATCTACGAGTGACCAGCATACGAATCTTGGAGCCAGTTTCTACGAAAAGGAGGTAATGCTGTATATATTCGTCTTCCCCTAGCCCGCCTAGGAAGGAGCCTTCTAATGTTGGGCTCCGCCTTTTTTTGAAATAGAAAGGTAACAGATTCTATATAAACCACTCAGCTCAGCCTACTTGATGTTTATTTGACTACGGACATCATTGTTCAATGCTCTCATGCCACAAATATCAAGCATTAAGCTGCTTTTGAAAGTAATTAAGCTATGAGCTCGTCTCGTTGAGGCATTGACTTAATGTAGATTAATAATGGAAAGCTCCTAAAGTTATGCTCTCAAGTCAACCTATGTAGCATATTCTCCGACAAACATGATCCACAACATATTTCACCTTCGATTACTTGCAAAACTCTTTGCTGAA